TTTACTGATGCAACTACTGAGCTTATCGGTACGTGGAGAATTATTTTGTTATTAGAATGCATCTACACATACATTGTACTTTATATATGTTAATTACAGTGTGCTGTTGTGCTGCAGATAAACCGTTGATAAAAGATTTGCTTATTGGACCGCATTAAAATGCACTTTTCACGCAATCGCGATGATAATGGGACCCGTAAACGTTTTTGTTTTCGCACGATAATTCAGGACATTAAAAAAAACCCTTTATCGGAACATTTCGGCGATTTCTGCATATATCAAGCAGAGGACATTCTTTAGCAGCAAGTATTCGCTGGACAGAACTACACAAAACGCGTGATCGCACCGACTACTGTGGTGCTTGCTGTTAATTTAATATCTTATGTTTTTTCAGTTTTTTGACTTTGAAAAAGCATTGGGTGACGCAGTACCTAGTTTGTGTTACGAGTTATTGTAGCGGCTGATTAATGGGGACTATATAAAAATTATTAAGGAAACCAGCATGGAACTATATAAAAATTGTTAACAGCAAACGCAAGCTTCTGGTCTGTCCCAAAATCATTTGGAAAGGGCGTTAAACTAGGGAGCCTTTTATTTGTCTCTAGATGGCATTTCGTTAGCGTGACTGGCAGGCGGTCCTGAGAATATATGAGAGCAGATAAATCAGTTAAGCTTTGCGGAAGATAGTTTTTTATGCGTTTTTTGCAGCTATGCAGTGCAAAAACGTATATTGACGAGGGGTTGTCTGTGTGTCTGTATGTGCGTCTTTCACGCACTTTCATCTCAAAACCTATAAAAGCTGCAGGGCTGAAATTTCGGGAACTTAATCTACATGCACGTGCCGGCCCCAATCTCCAAAATAGGCGCCATCACCCTCGTGGTACCCGCGTACGGGCCCGCCAAAATTTTTTTCGGGTATGTTCATGACTCCGGGGTTTGAGAAGCTAGAACGCTGAAATCTTATGGGGATTTTCCCCGTCCATGTGGGTATTAACGAGTTCAAACCCTGCCCGCGGGTAAGCGTGGTACTTACGCCGTAAAAGTTTCTTCCAGGTAAGTTGCTAACTCGAAAACTTGAGGAGCTAGAAGACTGGAATTTTGAGGGGATATTTCCTGACAGTTCTGGCGGCTAGTCTGAAATTCTTTTAGCTCGAAGTATCTGCCAGAAAAACCAGTGCCGTTAGCGACAAAAATCTGCGGGAAGCTATGCAAAAAACGCATCTTCGCACGAGCAGCCCGTGCGTTAGCCAATTATGTATGTGAGGTAAATTGCACGGAAACATGTGTTGCCCACAAATAGTAGTTTAGGTTCTGTACTTGGTGTGTAGTGAATCCCGCTGACATCATTAACACGAAATTCGTGCCGACTGTCATGTGATCTTGGTATTTTTTAATTTTCTGAACTAAGGTTTTTGATATGCCCTTTAAGAAACTTTCGAGTGCTTCAATCGCCTTGTAAAAAGTGAAAGAAAAAGTTTTAATTTGATTTTGTTGTTTACAACGAGAAATTCCTCACTAGCGTGCTTTTTTTTTCTAGTTTACTGTTCAATGCATGCATGTGATTTGGACTGCCTTCTTCTCAACGTATTTGAATTATTGGACTTCAATCCGTACGTCCGTCCTATCATTGTAACAATGCAGACAAACAACAGAACAAACAAGGTTACTGTTTCTGGTGTCTAATTTGTCGTTGTTGTCTGTAGCCTCTGCCGATTGTCACTGTACCCAAATGTCGATGCTTTTGGAAAACTTCTATGGGACTAACCCATAATACACAATCTCCTACGGTTTACGGCAGTTATGAGGAATTGTAGAATAGCCGGCAAGTGAGGTGGTAGATCGCAACACGGCGGTGGAAATTGGATACATGGAATTCTAGAAAACTAGGAAAAAACAATTCACTGAACACCACGGTTACCAGAAAAGTGACGGCCAAGTTGTGCAGCAACCGCTGAAATCATGTCAAAAGATAAACTTTGTTGAAACGATTGCTGATCAAATTAGAGAACCAGTTAAAATTGCTCAAAAAGTCAGTCAGAAACCGACTTCATGATTTTTTGTATTTCTTTTTTCTCCGCTGTTCTAGCCATGAATTCATATATTTTTTGCTTCACACATGAAAACAGTAGTAGGACAAACAGGTGTGTTAATTTTTAAGGACCAAACCGATAATGTAACAGTACCGAACAATGCAGTGCTGGAGCAGGACAGTGCGACTTTGCTTTTACAGCAGCATTCGCTATGCGAGCAACAGTCTGCCTCCAGTGACATCGCAAAACAGGCTTTGCATGGTCTGTGTTTCGCTTTTTCAAAAGAATTGTAAGGAACTGATATTCAGCCTCATGGGACCAAACTCACGACTTGTTTACGTTTTGTGTTGTAACAGTTGCACAACATGCATATTTTCACATCCTCGTGCATGTGTATGTATGTTCGTGCATGTGTGTATGTGTATGTTTGTATGTGTATATGTTTGTATGTGTGTGTGTGTATGTGTGTCCAGATGCATTTATCGAGTTTCTAGCTCAAGAGTTTGAAAAGATAGAAAATTCCATCACTAATTACATTTTAAATTCAGCCTTTACATACGCTCAAGTCACACGTTTCGGCAAGTGAAATTTTGACACGAAAGTCGCTAATTCGGGAGTCGAGAAAGCTAGGAAACTGAAATTTTTGAGGGATCTTTTCTTCCTCTGCGAAACCTCACAAACTTAAATCTGGCCTTCGCAGGCGCCAAGGCCTCAACTATGGGCCTCGAAACGTTTGGTGGGAAATTTTACTGCGTGGGACCAAATAACATATTATTTTTACACGCACCAAAGTGTAAAGCAGTGAAGATTCTTAACAAAAAACGTCCGGTGGAACTGCTCAAAATCTGTGTTCGCACTGGCTGCGATTGTGTGCGTCACTGTTGCTTACTAGCCGTTAAACCTGGCAGGGTTTTTCATTTATGAGAAGTGGGAGATTTGTTGTTAAAGAGATGAAGACGAAAACTAGGGAATGCGCACCACAGTCATAGTACCAGGTTTTATGCGTTTTTGCCGTGCAGCGCTAGAGCGCTGCAACAGGCAGAAAAAACGCATATTGCAACG